GTTCAATAGTTTAAACTACCGAACCAATAAAACTCAAAATAAACGAATGGCCTAAGAAAATCCCGAATACAATGCTATTTTCTTCACATTACTCCCCCTTAGTTCCATAGGTCGGCATATCCGCCTAGACCCTGTCGGGTTGGCATGGGGATGTCCGGGTAAAGTATTTATAAATCTAATTCCGTTTGGCCATCTGCATTACTGTTTTGCTTGCCTGGGCGGTATTGTAGCGTAAAATTATATGGTTGCAAGGCTAGGCTCCAGCAAAGCAACCGGGCATTGTCTCCAGAGACTCGGTTGAGCCAAATGAGGGGGTTGTGGTCCGTTAGCAAGGTGAAAGCCTGGCCATAAAGGTAAAGTTGGAGCTTCTTCAATGCCCATACTAGTGCCAGGCATTCTTTCTCCACGGTGACATAGCTGACTAGTTTGCGGCTGAGATATGACACTGGGTGCTCCATTCCATCATCCCCTACTTGGCTCAACACGGCTCCCAGCCCAAACATTGAGGCATCTGTATGAACGAGAAATGTTTTAGTAGGGTCTGGGGCTGCCAATACTGGAGCCTCGCTCGGGGCAGATTTAAGTCTCTGGAAAGCTGTTGCCCACTCCAGGGACCACGCTATTTGTTTGGGCAAGGACATCTTTGTTAAGTCAGTAAGGGGTTTGGCCAGAGCGCTATACTCAGGGACAAGTTTCCTGTAATACCCCGCTGTGCCTAAAAAGGCCAATACTTGTGTTTTAGTGCGGGTTGGAGGCCAATTTGCTATGGCTTCCACTTTGTCTGGTTCCGGTCGCTGTTTCCCTATGCCCCAGGCATTGGACCTCTGCCATATCTGCGTGGCATTTCTTGGGCTTCAGGGTGAGACCCGCCTCCTGTATCTTCCCAAATACTGTTGCCAAGTTCCTCAGGTGGGCTTCCCATGTGCCACTGTAGATAGCAATATCATCCAAGTAGGGACATGCGAAGTCCTGCATTCCATCCAGAAGTCAATCCGCCATCCGTTGAAATGTGGCCAGAGCATTCTTCATCCCAAAGGGCATAATCCAAAATTGGTATAGCCCGAATAGGGTGATGAATGCCGACTTAGGGATGGCGGCCGAGTCTAGCGGGATCTGCCAATATCCCTTGCACAACTCTAGGGTAGTTAGGAAGTGCCCGCTTGCCATGTGATCGAGCAATTCATCATTCCGTGGCATTGGGTAGGCGTCAGTTATAGTCCGGTCATTCAGTTTCCGGTAGTCAATACAGAAGCGAGTCGTACCATCTCGCTTCGGTACTAGGACTCCCGGTGAAGTCCAGGGACTTTGTGAAGCCTCAATGACCCCCAATTGCAACATCTCTTGGATTTCTTTCGACATACTGGTCCGCACTGCTTCCAGAATACGGTAGGGTTGTTGCCGCAATGGGGTTTCTCCTTATGTCTCTACCCAGTGGACTGCAGCCAGGGTGTACCCGGGTAGAGCGGAGAATAAGGTGAAACCCCATTGCGGTGGTAAGGTGAGCTGAGTAGGGGTTTTTGATACTGCAGACCTTCCATAACTGTTGGGTTAGATCTGCGGTAAACGGAGTCTCCCTGTCAGTCAGTATTTCCTGCCGAAACTCCACTTTGGTGAATATCCCGACTAAGGCACTGGCGACAGTGTCAGCCTGGATATTCGTCAGAGCGACGGCCTCCGGATAGCGGGTCGCATAGTCCACCACAGTAAGAATATATTTCTTACCTGATGGACTGGGATTGGGTAGAGGCCCCACTAGGTCGACTGCAACCCTGCTAAACGGTTCCTCCTCCTGGCATTAGGGTGGTCCCCTCTTTTTCCTACTCACTGGCAAACGTCACACGTGCTGCAGTAACGTCACACATCCTTCGAGATCCCCAAAGGAAGGTCTAGGTGATCCTGTAAGTTGTGCGGTTACCACCCAGGTGTCCTGCCAAGGGAATATTGTGTCCGATTCAAAGAAGCTCCACCAGTACTTTCTGGGTACTACTAGTTGGCGCTTCTGCGAAGGGGCACAGCCTTTCTTCCTACCTTCTGTCAATCTATACAGCCTGTCGTTATCCCATACAAAGTGTTCCTGCTCATTCCCCCCACTGTCGTCTTTTTCACGGTACTTTTGGAGGTTTGGGGTCCTCTCTGGTTTCCCTCCCAAATTCCTCCGGTGTATCCCAAGCTAGGGGTCTATCTACTATAGTCAGGGTAAGGGTCAGTGAAGTGCTTACCTGAGTCTCCCGTCCTGGTGTAAGGTCCTCTGCAACACGGGTCTGTGATCGAGTGGTAACTGGGCAAGCAGCAGCAGTGTTATTGGGTAAATAGGCAGAAGCCAGAGGGCCAATATTGTTGCTCCTGCAGACAGGCTGTCCATAATCCCCACAGTGTTTTTTTCCAGATCCGACTCCCCAGTCCAGGTGCACTCGGGCAGTGGGAAGGTGAAAAACAGCTCCTCCAGAAACACAGACAGCAACGGTGCGGTTGGACAGGTGTTCCGGTTTAACCAAATGTCTTTGCATCAGAGTTATGGTAGCGCCTGTGTCCCTCAGGCCTTGGGCAACTTGACCATTCACTCGGACCTGCTGGCGGTGATGCTGACGGTTGTCCGGGGATGCAGCTTGTA